TTGCTTTCTAGGTGCACAGTGTGCCATCCGTAAAAAAATGTTCATCTATCAGTGGTTGTGCTTCTACTCTCTACCTTGCTTGGCAAGAGTGGTGCAAGTCTGCTGCTCCACAACGGCCATCTTGGAATTGTCTTTCTTTCCCCTTTTTGGTTAAGTTTATTGCTAGCTTTTTTCTATTTATATTTTTTGGTAGCTATTGTAAATAAAATTGTTTTCTTTTTTTAAAATTTAGTTTACTAATTGTGTATAAAAATAGTAATGATTCTTGTATGCTAATTTTATATCTCATAGCTTTACTGAATTTGTTTATGATATCACTTTATTAGCAAAATATTTAGGATTTTTTATATATACGATCATGTCATCTTCAAATGGAGATAATTTGACTTTCTTCTTTCCAAGTTGAATTACTTTTATGTCTTTCTTTTCTTGATTTCTCTGCGACTTCTATACTGTGTTGAATAGAAGTGGCAAAAGTGGTCATCTGCCTTGTTCCTAATTTTAAAAGAAAACCTTTAAGCTTTTCTTCATTCAGTATGTTAGCTGTGGGTTTGTCTATATGTCCTTTATTGTGTTGAGGTATATACCTTATAAAAACCTTGAGATTTTTTTATCATGAAAAGAAAGAATTCTGTCAAATGCTTTTCCCACATGTACTGAAATGATGATATGATTTTTTTTCTCTTTAAATGTGCTGTATCACTTTTTAAAATTATTTTATTTTATTTTTAAAAGGTGGGGTACAAATGAGGGTTAGATACATATATGGTCATCATACAGATAAAGTAAACTCAAAAACCAATAGATGCTGGAGAGGATGTGGATACCCTTATTGATGTTATGTGCCCCTCCTCCTTGCTGGCAGTGCCCCACTACCGCCAGTCTCTTCCTTATGGTATTATGATAAATGTTCAAGGTCCACTTATGAGTGAGTACATATGGTACTCAGATCTTTGTTTCTGTGATAAATCACTGAGTATTATAGACTCTAATTCCATTCAGGTTGCTGTAAAGTTCATAATTTTGTTTTTCTTTATGGCTGCATAATATTCCATGGCGTAAACATACCACATTTTATTTATCCAGTCCATTTTTGGTGAGCAGCATGGTTGGTTCCATGTTTTTGCTATTGTGAATAATGCTGAAATAAACATGTGTGTGTGGGTATCTTTATTATAGAGCAAAGTGAGTTTCTCCAGGTATATCCCCAGAAGGGAGATTGCTGGGTCATATGAAAGGTTGATTTTCAGATTTTTTAGAAATTACCACATTGCTTTCCACAGTTTGTGCTAGTTTACTTTCTCACCAACAATGTAAAAGAGTTCCGTTTTCTCCACATCCTCTCAAGCATCTGCTGGTTTTTAAGTTACTGATGATGGCCATCCTGACTGGAGTTAAGTGGTATCTCAGTGTGGTTATAATTTGCATTTCTTTGATGATTAGTGAGTCTGAGAATTTTTTCATGTATCTGTTGGTTGCTCGTATATATTCTTCTCAGAAGTGTCTATTCATATCTTTTGCCCATTTTTTTTGAAAGCAGGATTTATCGAGAGGACAGAAAAGCTCCCAGAGTGGGAGGGGACCCAAAGGGGTTGCCCTGTTGCTTGCTTTTGAATAGGGCTGTTAAGTTTTTTACCATTCGGCACATTTGAGTTCCTTGTAGATCCTAGATGTTAGGCTTTTGTCAGACATACAGTTGGCAAATATTTTTTTCCAAACTGTGTGCTGTCTTCCCACTTTCTTGATGGTTTCCTTTACTTTGCAAAAGCTTTTCAGTTTGATGAGCTCCCACTTGTCTATCTTATCTTTTATGGCATTCGCTTTTGGAGAGTTGATCAGGACTTGATTGCCTATTCCAATTTCCATAAAGGTGCTTCCTACATTTTCTTCTAGGATTCTTATAGTTTGAAGTTTTATGTTTAGGTATTTGATCCATTTAGAGTTAATTTTTGTGTAAGGTGATAGGTAGGGGTCCTGTTTCAATCTTCTGCATGTGATCAGCCAGTTTTCCCAGCACCATCTACTAAATAGGTTCTTCTCTCCCCATTGGTTGTTGGTGGAGGTTCTGTAGAAGATGAGTTGGTTGAAAAATTGAGGTTTTGTTTCTTGAATCTCTATCCTGTTCCGTTGGTCTACATGCCTGTTCTTGTACCAATACCAGAGTGTTTTGATTATTGTAGCTTTACAATAGAGTTTGAAGTCTAGAAGTGTGATACCTCCCATTTTGCTTCTTTTGCTAAGGATTGTTTCAGTTATTCATGGTCTTTTATGTCTAATTGCTCTAGCTAGGATTTCCAACACTATGTTGAAGAGGAGAAGTGAAAGTGGGCAGCCTGTCTTGTTCCGGTTTTCAAGGGAAATGTTTCCCATTTCTGTCCATTTAGCAGTATGTTGGCTGTGGATTTTGAGATATATCTCATCTATGCCTAGATGGTCAAGGGTTTTTACCAAGAAGCAATGCTGGATTTTATCAAAAGCTTTTTATGCATCTAATGATATAATCATATGATTCTTGTTTTTACATCTGTTGGTGTATTTAATTACATTTATGGTCTTGTGGATATTGAACCAGTCCTGCATCCTGGAAATGAAGCCTAATTGGTCATGGTGGATAATTGTTGAGACATGTTGTGGGATCCAGTTTGCTAGAATCTTGTTGAGAATTTTTGCATCTATGTTCATCAAAGATATTGTTCTGTAGTTTTCTTTCTTTATTGGATCTTTGCCTGGTATGGGTATCAATGTGATATTAGCTTCATAAAATGTATTGGGTAGAGTTCTGTCTTTCTCAATTGCTGGAATACTTTCAGTAGGACTGGTATTGGCCCCTCCTTGTATGTTTTGCAGAATAAAGCCCATCTAGTCCAGGGCTTTTTTGTGTGGGTATTCTTCTTAGATGAAGTCAATTTCCTGGGCTGTTATTGGTTTATTTGGGATCTCAATATCTTCTTGTTTCAACCTTGGGAGGTTGTGTGCTGGCAGAATGTCCTCCATTTCACTTAGGTTTTCAAGTCTGTTTTGGTACAAGTGTGCATAGTAATCTTTCCGTGCATGTTGCTTAGAAAGTTGCCCACCTGAGTCATACATTCACAGATCATTGAAAAAAAGAGTGCTGGGTTACTTTAAAACTCACCACCGGCAAGCCCCTCAGGTCCCCTCCCCCACTGCAGGAGCTTTTCTGTCCTCTCAATAAATCCTGCTTTCAAAAAAGAAAAAAAGACTCACTGCCATTCCGCTGTGATCTAGGGCTGGGTTCTTCAGCAGAGCTGCGATGGCAGACCACAAATGCTTCAGTTGGGGGATGAGGCATCTAGGTCTTTTCTACTGGGACTCTTGTCAGTTTACTCTGGTATATTTTCTCGTCTTTTGTGTTGCTGGTGTCTAATCTAGGACAAAGGTTGAAGTGGTCGACAGCACCCGCTGCAGGTGATCTTCACTGTTTTAATCCTTTTTTTTCTTTCCAGCTGGTGCTGTAGAGATGGTGCCTGCCTCTGGGTCATAGAGTACACTGAGGTTCAATCCGGTGTATCACTTTTCATTGTTATGCCTATCTTAAATCAGTCTTGCTTCCTCAGGATGAATCAAATTTGATCATAATGAATGATTTTTTTCAGTGTCCTGTTGAATTTAGTTTGTTAATATTTTGTTAAGAATTTTTGTATATATTTTCATCAGGGATATTGGTCTGTATTTTTATAGTTGTTATTGTGGTGGTGGTGATGGTGGTGTTGGTTGGTGTGCTCTTGTTTGGTTGTAGAATAAGAATAATGCTGGCCTTGTAAAATAAATTTGAAAATATTCCCTCTTCTTCAATTTTCTGGAATAGTTTGAAGAGAATTGATATTAGTTCTTCTTTAAATGTTTGGTAAAATTCATCAGTTAAATCATCAGGTCTTGGACTTTTCTTTGATGGAAGGCCTCTGACTCTTCAATTTGCTCACTCTTTATTAATCTGTTTTGATTTTCTTTTTCATCATATTTTAATTTTGGTGAGCTGTATGTATTTAGGAATCTATCTATTCTATATTTTCTAATTTTTTAATATATTTTTGTATTTATATATGCATGTATTTTTATTTTGTGAGAATTTTGTTTGCTCTGATAATTCTGTGTTTGCCTGTTCTTTTGTGATAGGTATGACCAGTCTTCCCTTTTCCGTGTTCAACACCAACTTTTTCCGGGTTCAACACCATCCATAAGGATTGGCTGTCTGGAAATGATTTTACTTCCCCATTGCTGATGAAGCTTCGCTTGTCAGGGTCGCTTCAAGGGAATAGGCATAATAGCTCCTTATAATTCTTCATATTTCTTTGGCATCTGTTGTAATGTCTTCGTTTTAATCTATTTTATTGACTTCAGTCTTATATACAAAAATTCTTAACAAAATATTAGCAAACTAAATCAAAAATTGAAGGCCTGGTCTAGGAGCAGCATATTCTTTTAAGGATGTCTGGAAATGATTTTAGTTCCCCATTGCTGATGAAGCTTCGCTTTTCAGGGCAGCTTTAAGGGAATAAGCATAATAGCTTCTTGTAATTCTTCATATTTCTTTGACATCAGTTGTAATGTCTTCGTTTTAATCTATTTTATTGACTTCATTCTTCTCATTTTTTTCCTTTGTTATTCTAGCTAAAGGTTTGTTCATTTTATCATTTTAAAAAGACAACTATTTATTTTTTTGATCTTTTGGAATCTTTTCGTCTCTATTTTACTTATTTCTGCTCTGAACCTATATTTTCTTACTAATATGGTTTTAGTTTGTTCTTGGGTTTATAGAGAGTTTCTTTTGAATTGAAATTTCCAAGGATAACATAGAAATTAACCAATGCTAATGTGACATTTTGTTATCATTTCTACTAGCAGGTCAAGGTGTGCCAAAGATAAACAAATATTGATTCAAAGGTCAAAGACTTATTACATGTTTGGTGATACGCCTACACTTAGTGTTTATAACATATTTGGATTCTAAGCTTTCATTTGCATTTACCCAAAGCACATCAATGGATCTCTTCATCATCCTGGTGACTTGTCTTTCTTGTTTGATTCTTGTTACTCTGTTGAATGGAAGCTATGCCAAAAAGAAGCTCCCTCCTGGCCCTACTCCTCTCCCAATTATTGGAAATATTATACAGTTAGGTACTAAGGACTTCAGCAAATCCCTAAGCATGGTAAGTGTGATTGATTTTACCTTAGTTGTTTGCAAGGAATAAATAAGTTTAGTCCTATAGCTAAATGAAATATAGACTCAGACTCCAAGTTTTAAAGAAATGACTTTAAAGGAAAGTATCCACTGGACACCCAGATACAACTTTAATATGCATGCTAATAGAAAGAAATGAGATCCGTTCATCTTAACTAAAGGAGAGATTGACAGACCAGAGGACAATAAATGTTTATTCAAGAATGAATACTGCAACCTGGATAGCAATCAAAGACTGTATCACTCAAGAGAGGTAAGGAGGCTTAGATTTATGAATTTATTTATATTTCATAAATTTTTGGTCACATTACTTCATTGATTAATTAAACAAAGAATGCATCATTAGTCATTAGTAGAAATGTGCATTTGCATTGATGAGTCAGGAAAATCCCATAACAAAGTGTTTGTAAAAATTAGAACCAGTTTCTTTGTGTTGTATATTCTTGAGAGCCTAGTTGTTTGTAAAGAACACTTTTTTGCAGTTTCTTTGTGGATCCAAAAGTTCAAATGAAGTCAGGAAAAGGATATGACCAGGAAACTATGATCTCATGTTTTATGAAAGCTTAAAGGTATCTGGTGGTTAAAAGAAGATTTGGAGAAAGAATAGTGAAAGACGATTGGTAGTCTACACGTAGGGCAAGTTGAAGGGGCTTTCTTTAAACAGGAGAAGAAACACATCATTTATTATAACTGTAGGAAGAAAGGAGAAATTCGGTGCAATTTTAGGTTTGGAGAAAAAGCTAATAAAATAATCAGAACGAATTGTATTGTATAGTTCCTGTCTCATAGTAAAAGCAAGAATAGCTATTGATGATGTTGATGATGATGATAGCAATATTAATAATAATATAATTGCCATTTAAATAATATATTTTCTTACTGAATAACTTGTTCTAAAAGTTGAAAACTTTTATAACAGGTGGATGCATATTAAAATGTCTGTTTAGTAAGACTGAAAATATCTGTCTCACTTATCTACATTTCAGTTCAAAAGTCATTATTTTCCTTCCATCTCTTGTTCTTTTTCCAGCTAGCAAAAGATTATGGCTCTGTGTTCACTGTGTATTTTGGCATGCAGCCCACTGTGGTGTTGCATGGATATGAAGCCATAAAGGAGGCCCTGATTGACCGGGGAGAAGAATTTTCTGGCAGAGGGAGTTTACCAGTGTTTGACAACTTCGCCCAAGGATTAGGTATGTATTTTGGTGGAATGTGTATGGGTTTGTAAGTTGTAAAGACTCCAGATAGACTGAGAAATTGGTGAAGCACTTCAAAATATTTATAGGACATATTTTCATAATTTTAAAATAAGAATATGAGTAATTTATAAAAGATCATTACTCCATATTTAAAATCTGTAAAGGCGACACAAAGTCTCCGTGCAACATTAAATTCAGTGAAAGCAAACCATCTAGCCACTAATGTTCTATGAATCTGTGACTAAGACACATTTATTTTAAAGTATGGCTAGTTAGGATAATGAGAAAGATATAGAGAGAGAGAGGGAATATGACTAAATTTTTGACACCAAACATATTGTTTACTTGTCTGAGTCACTGATATCCAGGAACAATTTTTAGGACCTTGTACAGTATGCACGGAACCTGGATAGATGTGGTATATTTCCAACCTTGTCTTCAATCTTCTATTCTAAAAAGTATAAGAATATTTGAATCCAATTGGATACAATTTACAATGCAAAATTGTGCTCTGAAAAGAGGATCATGCAGAAACATGTGGTAAATATCAATCAAAATTGACATTAGAACGTTCTTTTTATTAAGTACTTGAATACTCTTCCTTTTGTTTTTGGTGTTGCTCATAAACTCTCCAGTCTTCTAGTGGATTACCGGGTCTGGCACAAAGAGAAAAGACCTGAATGTCATTCTCCCCTCCTTTGTGTTGCTCTCTAAGAGCCTTCCTGGACAAGTTTCCTATAAGCTTATCTTTTTCAGGGGGAAAAATCTGGTCTTGACTCTGGAAATCTGATATTGAACTTTCTTGATGCTAAGACCACTTTTACTAAAGAGATTTAACATAGAGCGGGAACACTAAAATGAGATGTGTTGTCAATGACTATACTTCTTACCTGAGGAACAGATTGTTACAAAATTCCTTCCAATGTATAATTCTCACCTTCTCTTGAGAATTGCGTTTTCTTGTTGTTTTCCCTCAAATTTCAGAAAAGCCATCTTGTTTATTTAACTTATGACTTGGAATCACCATTGTTGCTGTGGGATAATAGAGCAAACATTTTAATTCCCTTAGCATCAGCATCTTTTAAAACAAAGAGAAAAACCAGGTTCACAGAGACATTCTGAGGTTTAAAAGAGCTAATGGATGAATAAGAGTTTCATAATATTTAAAATCAAGAGTTCAGCCAGGCTCGGTGGCTCAGCCTGTAATCCTGCGCCTTTGGGAGGCTGAGGTGAGTGGATTGCCTGAGCCCACGGGTTCGAGACCCGCCTGGGCAGTGAGACCTCATCTCTACAATAAATCAAAAAATTAGCAGGGCGTGGTAGTGCGCACCTGTAGTTCCAGCTACTTGGAAGGCTGAGGTGTAAGGATCGCCGGAGCCCAGCAGGTCAAGGCTGCGATGACCAGGAGTAGCCACTACACTCCAGTCTGGGTGACAGAGTGAGACTCCAACTCAAAAAAAAAAAAAAATCAATAGTCCTAATCATTAAATACTAGTTTGGGTTAAAAGAGGAGGCAGGTGAGGTGGAGCTCGATGGGAATTCCAGAAACTGACACCACCATACTCACATGCCTGCTTAAACATTAGCATCATTTCCTGAGATGAGTATTCTCAGCTAGAATTTATGACAATGGTGATATTATTACTCGGTCTCTTTTTGTCCTTATAGGAATTGTTTTCAGCAATGGAGAAACATGGAAGCAAACCCGACGTTTCTCCCTCTTGATTTTGAGGCAGATGGGAATGGGGAAGAAAACTATTGAAGACCAAATTCAAGAAGAATCCTCGTGTCTGGTGGAAGCATTTAAAAAAACCAATGGTGCATATTTATTTCGATAATTGACAGTAATCATGTGGGTAGAATAAATGCTCTTACAAGTACCCTAAAAAAAGATATGATGGCTCAAGAACAGTAGAAGGTTCCTTTTTGCTCATTTAATAGTATAAAGAGGTGAAATCATTAGCAAAACAGTATTTGTCAGGCACCAGGTTGATTGAGGCTGTGATATCTTTCAGCATTTGGCTTCCAGTGTTATCCAGGGTTTATCATCTATATGGCAGTAGAAGGGAGAGAAAACAAGGTCAAGTGCAAATACCATTTAGGCCAGGCATGAAAGGGGCACCATAAAATGAGTAATGAGCTCTCAAATAGTTACAGGGCCACATCTAAATGTAGGAAATGCTGAAAAATCTGGTTCACTGTGTGCCCAGGAGGAAGAGAAGAACATAGATTTTGGTAATCAGCTAGCCATTTTGGCCACATTAACATAAAATGTAAGTGACATTTCTAGTAACTTCTTGGAAAGAAATGTACGGGCCACCAAATTATCCCAATGTGCAAGGCTGGCTTTCATGGAGGAGTGTGGGCTTGAAAAGAAGGAACCACAGCCACACAGATCTCAGGAGGCTGTAGATGTGTGCATGTTCAGGCAGGACTGGGATAGGGTGGAGGAGCAAGGGGGAGGCTGGAGACCTGGCAGGGAAGGCATACTATTAGGACTCTAGGATGCATGTGGGTTTTTGTTTTTTGTTTTTTTATTGGAGTTTCACTGTGTAGTCCAGGCTGGCGGGCAGTGGCACACTCACGGCCACCCCAGCATCAGCCCGCTGAGCTCGGGAGATCCTTCCACTTCAGCCTTTCAGGTAGCCGGAACTACAGGCATGCTACCATGCCCTGCTAAATTTTTTGACTCTTTTCTTGTAGGGATAAGGTCTCGCTACGTTGCTGGGGCTGATCTCGAACCCGTGGACGCAGGCAATCCACTTGCCTCAGCCTCCCAAAGTGCTGGAATTACAGGTTGAGCCAGCCCAGCCTCCATGTGGTTTTATGAGCTCAATATTTAAATACTCTTAAAGAACTCATTAGCTTAAAGAGAGTATATTATCTGTGGGGAATTGACATTGTGTTCAAAAACGATTTTATATTGTTTTGGAGGTAGCTTGTTTTCCATTTTATTCTTGCTGCTATTGATATAAATATTCAGTCATTACCAATATTTGCATGTCTGTTCCTTTTTTAGAATAAATTTTTGAAGATGGAGTTTTTTGTCAGTGAACATTAGGCTTTTAATGAACATTACATAGAAATGGGGGGAAGATCTGACAAAAAAGTGACAATGAGGCATATGTTGTGTGTACTGTTCTGTAAACTTATTTTTTAAATGACATGCATGAATATCTCAATGCTTAATTTTAGCTATTTCCCAATAACATTATTAACTGAGTTGTACAGTAGTCCTATATGTTGAATGTGCCATAGTTTAGCGGTTCCCAGCATTTTTAGGCATCAGGGACCAGTTTCTTAGAAGGTAAATTTTTCATGGACCGAGCAGGGTTGAGGATGGTTTCGGGATGATCCAAGAGCATAACATTTATTGTTCACTTTATTTCTATTATTGTTGCCTTGTAATATATAATTAAATAATTATACAACTCACCATTAAAGAAAGAGGCATGGATGGAAGTGGTAAATAAAATAATGGGTGGGCCACGAGTGGACTAAAATAAGTTTCGGATTCTGACTTAAAGCCTGCTACCAGATGCAGCTATACAATTCAAGCATATCAAATCACTTGCCACTCACGGACAGGGTTTTAATATGAGTCTGCAAGCAATTGATTTGGTATGTTCTCTGTGCAGTCAAACCTCACTGCTAATGTTAATCTGTATTTGCAGTCACTCCCCAGAGCTAGCATCACTCCCTCAGCTTCACCTCAGATCATCAGACATTAGATGCTCATAAGGAGCCCACAGTCTGGGTTTCTTCCATGCACAGTTCACAATAGAGTTCACTCTCCCATGAGAATCTAATGCTACCACTGATCTGGTAGAACGTGGAGCTCTGGTGGTAATATGAGTAATGGGGAGTGGCCATAAATACAGATGAAGCTTCACTCGCTCACCTACCACTCACATTCTATGTGCAGCCCAGTTCCTAATAGACCATGGACTGGTCCCGGTCTGTGGCCCCAAGGTTGGGGACCCCTGCCATAGTTTAGTCAACTAATTCTTTTTTAAACAGATTGTTTCTGTTCTTTGCTGCTATTCATATATTAAAAAGTGCATTCCATACAAATTACTGCAGATCTCTGGCAACTTTCTTTTTTTTTTTTTGAGTTGGAGTCTCACTTTTGTCACCCAGGCTGGAGTGCAGTGGCACATTCATGCCCACAGCAGCCTCGACCTGCTGAGCTCTGGTGATCCTTCTACCTCAGCCTTAAAGTAGCTGGAACTACAGGTGCACGCCACCACGCCCAGCTAGTTTTTGTGATTTATTGTAGAGACGAGGTCTCACCAAGTTGCCCAGGCTGGTCTCAAATCCCCGGGCTCAGGCAATCCTCTTGCCTCAA